ATGACAATCGTTTTTTACCACCAACTGCCGAACATTACGCTCATGACGATCATCTTTTTTACCAATTGCGGAATATTCCACGCATGATAATCATTTTTTTTTACCAACTGCAGAATATTACGCACATGACAATTGGCTCCTACAACCAACTGCAGAATATTCCGCGCATGACAATCTTTTTTTACCACCAACTGCCGAACATTACGCTCATGACGATCATCTTTTTTACCAACTGCAAAATATTCCATGCATGACAATTGTTTTTTTTTACCAATTGCGGAACATTACACGCATGACGATCGTCTTTTTACCAACTGCGAAATATTCCGCGCATGACGATCGTCTCTTACCACCAACTGCAGAATATTCCGAACATGACGATCGTCTTTTTTCACCAATTGCGTAATATTTCGCATACAAAACATTTGTTTTTCAATCTATGATCATTTGAACAATGATACGAGCAAACTGAAACTTGATCTTTGTTGATTCTAAACACGGAACATTAGAATCATGATGTAAATCGATTAGAACTTACAAAAAATTGGATCGAACAATAAACTTTCGATGAAAGTATCGTCTAAATTAGTCGCAAAGGAACAAATAGGAAATTGTTTTTCTCGTTGAAGTTTTGTGCAACGATAGAACGCGGAAGTGGTAGAAAGAGTACAGGAGGAGGAGGAAGAGGAGGAGGAAGAAGAAGAAGAAAAAGGGAGAGTAGGAGAGAACACGAGGAGGTGATTGGTGGAGGAGAAAGGAACGACGCCTGTTTCCGGCCCATTAAAACCGAACCAGGGGTCGCACGGTAACGTGTGCAGGAGGCTAATTATTTCGAAGACACAGTGGCTCTCATTTATTGTATCTCGATACAATTGTTATCATTTATTAACAAGATTTATCTTCTTCTTTCTTTTATTTATTTTTTTTTTTCATTCCATATTTAAAAAAAACAAATCAATCGTTGAAAGTTTATTTTGAATAATATTTCAATTATTATTATTATTAATAAATAATGATGCAAGTATAAAAATAAAGTAAGAGATTGAATGATTGAACTGGAATCACGTTTTAATTCTAACACAACGTGGGTGTCCATAAATGGTACGATACTTGGATTACGCCACTTCCGGTAGCGAATCACCGTTATATATCGGGACAGTTTATTTACTTTCTCTCTCCCTCTCTTTCTTTTTCTTTTTTTTTCTTCTTTTTTTTAGCTTCTGAAGCTTCGAAAGTCTTTCAAGTAGTTGACGGGTAAATCGTTTGAAAGGGTTTTCAAGTGTGAAAGAGAAAGAAATTGGCAACAGTTAACCGGTGCAACTCGCGTTACGTAAAAACCACGTTTAAACTATATTAACCTTGGCACGTATCTTCTTTCAGAACCCCCCCCCC